CTTTTTAGTTTAAACCGTAGAGCCTTAAACCGCTAGTACCTTTGTCGGTTCGGAAAATGGCGGGCCTCCTACCTCTCAGGAGGAGGCCGAAACGAAACGACAGCCGCCGATTAGATTTATCAATGGCAGCCGTCGTCAGGCCCGTCCTCCGAATTCTTCGGGAGCAGTTGTGGCCTGTGCAGGCCACTAAGAAAAAGGCCGAGTTAATAAGAGTAGCTTCATAGAAATAGGCTCCGGTGAACTGGCGTTTTAAAGATGTTTCTACAAGCTTAACGCTTTTTTTAATGCATTCCTCGGTCCATTAGACATTCCCTGTGATCACTCACTAAGCACGCTTACATGTCATCAGGGCCAAGGAGTAGAATCTCTAGGGGACCTCTGGGGTCTACTCACGGGGCCTGTAGAGAAAATGTGCATGCCTCCCTCCTTCACTTGAATACACCGTACGATCATTACCGTTCCATCTAGACTCAAAATTGCCCCAAATACAGACAGCTATAATGACCGTACAGGTGAAGACGGTAGTGCCCAAAGTACCCGTATAACAGAGGTCGTTGACAAGGCTTGAAGCAGGGGTGCGTGGGATATCCTGCAACTGCACTGGTGCCTGCAACTGCTGTCCGATCAGGTCACACAGAGATAGGACTGGAGGGAGTAGGCAGTCGGCCACGAGAATTAACAAGTGGGTAGGTGGGTGGGGTCTCCTAAGAGGGKGGGCCCGGAAAAAAAAAAAAAGAAGAAAAAAAAGAAAAAAAAAAAAGAGAGTAGAACAGGAACAGCAAGGAAAGAAAGAAAGAGAAGTCGGCAATGGCCAGCACTTGCTTGCAAACATCTTCCCATAGATCGATCAAACAGACCGAGCGCACACTCACACCAGGACTTTTTCAACTTCTCTGTGGACGTAATTGCGGTTAGGTGCATCCTGGACAGGTACAAGGAAAAGTGGTCATATACGTTCAGAAAGAGTCGTGGTGCCATTATGCCCTGAGTACAATCACATGACATTTTTCTCATGACACTCAGAATGTGCACGCTCCTCAATGTCCGCTTGCACGAGAGGACCAGTTGGGCCCAGGGAACTCCTCGGAGGACCAGTTGGGCCCAGGGAACTCCTCAGGGGACTAACTGCAAAATTACAAATGCAAGCGCCTCCGCTACCAAGTATACCACACGCACACTAATATAAATAAAAATTATAAAATAAAATAAAAAAGCCTAATAAAAGGAGAAATCTCGGAAATAGGTGCTAAGCCTTCTTGATCAGAAAGCTTCAAATTAACAAAAAGGAAAAGCTGAGGAAACAGCACCCGACACTTGAAAAGAGGTTTTGTCTTTTGTGCCGGTAGTTTAAAACACTACCCTCGATTTAAAAAGACAGCTTACTCTTATTCTTGTGCAGCAGGTGAGCACTTGAAAAGACAGGGAAAGCCGTCAAAAGAGAAAACCCTACAACTTCTCACGACAAGGAGTGTTACGACCTCTATCTGTGGAATCTCTCTCTCTCTCTCTCTCTCTCTCTCTCTCTCTCTCTCTCTCTCTCTCTCTCTCTCTCTCTCTCTCTCTCTCTCTCTCTC